TGCCTTACGACTTCCAGCCACTTTGGACAAACTGTGACGTCTCCAGTGTCCCAAATCAGGTTCAAACTTTTGGATTTTACTGCTTTCGATCAGGAAAAAAGCACATATTTAGTTTTGGGAATGAAATGAAAAATTAAAATCGGTTTCTGGGCATTTTTTTTCACGCGTCAGATGAGATAAAGATGCTGTTTGTCGCATCCGTTTACAGAATCTGCAGTTTTTAGGAGTTCTTTTTCTCCTTTGTTTGAATCTTCTGGTTTTAAAATTTGATTGTAGACTGAATGTTATTCAGATTGATAGATTCGTACACAGAATAGCTCAAACTAGTCATCTCTCCTTGACAGCCTGCTCTCTATGGAGGTTTTCCTCTCTTGGAATTGAGCATAAAAGACTGACATCAGTCTCTTGTTTCGTCATATTTTTTACTTTCCGCTGATTCTGGCGACATTTGTGGGAGTTTTGGTTGTCGTGTTTTTCACGTTTTTTTGCTACGAGTGGAAACGGCGACACGTTTGCATCCATTTAACTCAGTTTGTTGAGTAAATTGCGTTCAGTTGTTCACTGAACCTGAAGCGACTGTTGGGAATTTGGGTTGATGCTTTTATTTTGGAAATGTGAAAAAATGTGAAACTCGGTGTGTAATTTTTCTCTGAAAGTTGCACATAATGTTTTGTATTTTAATAAAAACAAAAAAACAACTTCTAAATGCTGCAGTCACTGACTTTAACCCCCTTTTTTTTTTACCTCCCTCTTACAAAAATAGAAGAAATGACATGAGTGTTTACTGAATTCTGATTGGACCCTGAAATGATGACATCAATCAGTCTGAAACACTAACGTCTACACAAAATGTGTCTGGGATTAGTAATTACTCTAAATAAAAACATAAAAAACATTTTAGAAAATAAGTTATTTGCGACACAAAAGTTTTATTTTTTCTTATTTGTTCCTCATTTAGCTCGGTTGGGCATTTTTCCAGAAAAGCAGATTTTTCTGGATGGATTTGAGCCGTTTGTGTGTCAGATCAACACACTTTCAGTGGATGGAGGAAGTTTTCATCCACCTACTGTGTTTTCCTGTCAGGAAGTCGGGTCAACGGCCCCCAGAACGAACAATGAAAGCTAAAAAAAAACTCCAGCTGCCTGAAACCTGAACAATGGAGAATAAAAAGTGTCTAAACCGAACAATCGAATCCCCAGAAATCCATCACAGGACATCGGCCCCCAGATGGAAGCAGAACGACTCTAAAGAGGGCTTCAGTTTCCGCCCGGTTTCTGACTTTGTGCTCGACAGTAAAACACCAAAAGCACAAAACACTGTTATTGTTTATTCAATCATTAGTTTTTTTTTATTGTATTAATATACTATCACCGTAAAAACATGAATCCTGAGCTGAGGGATGCAGAAAATGCCCCAAATGGGAAGAATAAACAAGAAAACTTCATTTTTTACAGTGCAGATATTTTATCCTCAGATTAGTTTAAGTCAAATAAAATGTTAAATGACGTTTGATTTTGATTGACCTGCACTTAATTAGTTGTGAACCAAAAGCAGAATCTGTCATTTTCAATATTTAGATGAAAATATTTGAAAAGTCACCCAAAATCAAGCAGCAGATTTTTATTTGCTCGCTTTAATATTCAGTTGAATTCAGATAAATAACCAGATAGATAGACAGATAGATGCACCAGGCACTTGAACAGTTTTTCTCACAGGCTAATTTAGGT